CATACAATATCATATTAGTATTAAGTGTACAATAGTACTTAGACATTTATATAATTTACAAAGTGATCACCCCGGTAAGTCTAGTAGCCATCTGACAGCATACAGAGTTATTACAATATTATTGACATGTTCCCTCTGCTGTACTTTACATTCCCTTGACTATTTGTATAACTGGCAATTTATATTTTTTAATCCTTTCATGCTTTTTCACTCAAACCGTCTCCTATCTGGCAATCATCAGTTTGTTCTCTATCTCTGAGTTTATTTCTGTTTTGTTTGTTCATTTAGTTTTTGAGATTTCACATAAAAATGAAATCAGATGGTATTTGCCATGTTGTCACAAATGGGAAGGTTTTATTTTTTATAGCTGAGTAATAGTTTGTTGTACATATGTACCACATCTTCTTCTTCATCTATTAATGGGCACTTAGGTTGCTTCCATATCTTGGCTATTGTAAATAATGCAATGATGAACATATGAGAGCATATCTTTTCAAATAAGTGTTTTGGATTTCTTTAGATAAATACCCAGAAGTGGAATTTCTAGGTCATATGGTAGTTCTATTTTTAATTTTGGGGGGCATCTTCATACTGTTTTCCATAGTGGTTGCACCATTTTATAGTTCTAACAGTGCACAAGGATTCCCTTTTCTCTATATCCTCTCCAACACTTGATTTATTGATAGCTGTTCTGACAGGTGTCGGGTGATATACCTTAGTGTGGTTTTAATTTGCATTTCCCTGATGATTAGTAATTTTGAACATCTTTTAATATGTCTTTTGGCCATTTGTATGTCCTCTTGAAAGAAATATCAATTTTGAGTTTCTCTGCTCATTTTTTAATCAGATTGTTTTTTTGGTGTTAAGTTGTATGAGTTCCTTAAATATTTGAATATTAACTCATCATATGTATCATTGGTGACTATCTTCTCCCATTCAGTGGATTGTCTTTTATTGTTGTTGTTGACGATTTTCTTTGCTGTGTAAAAGCTCTATAGTTCAGTATCAAACATTTGTTTGTTTTTTCTTTTGTTTCCCTTGCCCAAGGAAATATATAGCTAAAAATATGTATGTTACTAAGAGCGATGTCAGATTGTTTACTGCCTGTTTTCTTCTATGATTCCGGGTCTTAGATTTAAGTCTTAAATCCATTTTGAGTTTATTCTTGCATGTGGTAAAAGTGGCCCAGTTTCATGCTTTTGCATGTGTCTCCAGTTTTCCTAACACTATTTAAGAGATTATCTTTACCCCCTTGTATACTGGTATATTCTTGCCTACTTTGTCATAAATTAAGTGAGCATATAGGTTTAGGTTGATTTCTTGGCTCTCTATTCTGTTCCATTGATCTGTGTGTTTGTTTTTATGCCAGTACCTTGCTGCTTTGCTTAATGTAGCCTGTAGTATAGTTTGATATCAGGTAGCAGGATACATCCAACTTGTTCCTCTTTCTCAAGAGTATTTTGGCTATTTGGGGTCTTTTGTGGTTCCATATAAATTTTAGGGCTATTCTAGTTCTGTGAAAAAAATAGTCTCTTATAGGGTTTGCATTGAATCTATAGATTGCTTTGGGTAGTATGGACATTTTAATGGTGTTAATTCATCTGCCTTCAGCGAGTCATAATCTTTTTGCTGGTGGAGGACTTTGCCTCAGTGTTGATGAAAACACAGTCTGTAAAGTTCATTTAAAGTGAAGCACAGTAAGACAAAGCACAATAAAACGTGGAATGCCCGGACAGTAAGTCTGCAAGCATTTACTGCATGTTGATTACATGCTAGACACTGTGCTAAGTCCTAATGATGGACATCATTGACTTCAAAGAACTTACATTCTAGGAGGGGAGGTAGACAGTATGCAGGTGCTCCCCAAAGTGAAATAAAGCACCGCATGAATACCAAAACGATAGACCAGCTAGCATCGAGACAGGGTTATGAATCCCAGCTTCTTTTTGGATAGGGAAAGGTCATTTGTGGCAGGAACTAAAGCTGAAGGGCAAACCAGACCGGGCATGAAAACTCCGCCTACTTTTCACTACCATGACTTTGCTCTGAGCCACTTCCATATCTTCCTAGATTATCCCAGTAGTTTAACCGGTCTCCCTGTTTCTGCCCTTGATCACTTATTCATTGAAAAAAAATATATTGGAGTTTTTAAATATGTGCCAGGTATTGCTCCTGGTACTAGCAGTTCTGCAGTGACTAGAACAGATCAAACTCCCTGACCTCTTGGAGCTTTCTATCATTCTGTTCTCAAAACAGCAATCAGACCGATCTCTTTCAAATATAAGTCAGTTCTGTCTCTCCTTTGATCAAAATCCTTAGTTCACCTGCCCATGCTAATAGTATCTACCTGTAACTGAAGATGAGGAAAAGTCGGGTTTTAACATTGATGTTCCTGTTCTCTATTGAATGCTGCTATGCCACAGAGCCTAGTTCAGTTTGAATGTGGATTTTCAAGTGGGAGAAGGGGAAGTGGAAGAATCGTTTCTAGCAGGTAGGACTCTAGAAGTGGAAAGCGCTGCGTTGAATGACTCCAGGGGCATCTGTGTGATAGAGCGATCATTCTGACAGTGATTTCTCAACCATCTGACTCTCTTCCTGCTCCTCCTGCCTTCTTTCACAGAATTCTTTGGGCAAAATAGAGCTTTTAAAACATATTGAAACCTCTATTAAATGGATGTGAGTTTTTTAAATTGAGATATAACATACATGCAATAAAATACATTTTAAGTGTACCGCTTAGTTTGTGCATGTGTATGTTCCCATGTAACTACCAATTCAGATCAAGATACATTTTGAGAACTCTCAGTCCATATTATCTTCCAAATGTAACCAATATTCTAATTTCTGTCACCATAAAATTAGTTTTGCCTTTATCTGATGGAATCTTTTTTTTTTTTTTTTTTTTAATGCTTACCCAAGGTTATTTTTTCCATTGATTTTTAGAGAGAGTGGAAGGCAGGGAGGAGGGGGAGACAGAGAGATACATTGATTGTATGCACCCTGGCCAGGGCAATGGAATCTTTTATATCTGGTTTCTTTCATGCAAAACAAGGTATGATACTCACCCATGTTGTTGCAGATAGCTGTACCTTTTTCATTGCTGCACAGTATTCCATTTTTTTAAAATACCACAATTTATCTATTCTATTGATAGATTTTGGGGATATTATGAATAACATGTCATTTGTTGGATGTAAGAATTCTTTTCACTTGACAGTATAAATGCTGGGTCATAGGATATGCTGATGGATAGAGGATCTGATAAAGTGTCACCCCTCTGATGAGGGTTTTGAGAAGTCGTCCTGTATTCAGTGGTCGGAGCTGTACTGCCTGGCACATTAGTCTTCATGTCTTCTCCTCGCTCTAGCCCAGGCCACAGTGTTGAACAGAGTAATGATTAGAATGCAAAGACAAGGTGATATTGTACAAGGTTATGAGTAACAGCAATCCTTGGATTAAAAGGGTTAATTCTCCAGTGACCTGTTATCACAAGATATGGTTCTGTTAGCTCCATTGCATCAGTTTCGTTTAGTACCTGAAAATTTTTGAAGGGGGTAGGAAATCCTATTCCTAAATAGCAAACGTTTAGGCCAAAGAATTAGGCCAGACTTGAGAGAACTAACAGTTAACTTGATTTCATGCACAATACTGATCACTGGCAATACAAAGTGATGAACAAGATACATGGAGCTTACCCTGCGTAAGAGGCAGACCAGCCATCACAGTCCATTGTGGAGGGCAAAGCACTGTAAGGAAAACTCTGTTTTTCATTTACGTCACACGAAGTGCTCTGAATACGACCCCACACTACTGACCCGTGACGTACAGGTTTCCACACATCAGGCAGTTCTGCAACACCACCTGGGCGTCCTACAATTTAGCTCAATGCCGACACTGTCTCCCTGGAGATAATGACGGATCTCACAGCTGAAGGGCTCAGTCCCACAAGACTGCTCCCACTTCAGATTCCAGTCACGAGGCTAGGTTGTTACCTGTGCTTCTAACCAAAGGGCTATAAATTGTAGGTTCCCACAACTCCCTCCTGAGGTTCAGTTAATTTGCCAGAGGGAACAACATGAGGAAAGAGGCAGACACTCACAGGAACTTAGAAAAATTAAAAATTCACTCCAGCCTGGAGCATAGTGTTTAAGGAGAGAGTAGTTGCAGAAGATGGAAATATAATCAGATACTAGATCATGAAAAGCTTTAAAATAATAACAATAACAGCCAATGTTTCTGAGGAATTGGCCTTTTCCAAGCTAGACTAATCACATTTCATGGACTACCTCATTGAATACTCAGCATCCTTAACACATAGGTACATCGTTACAGACGATAAAATGACAGGTCCAGGCCTTCTCTAACAGATCAAAAGCCCATTCTCTTAACCACCCTCTAAGAGACTATTACATAAGCCATCTTTATCTTCCTATGGGCTCAGCTTCTTGATTGTGTTGTACTTTGGATTGACTTAAATTAGCTAATGTTCCTTCAATGTTTGCAAACATAAAACTGGTATAAACTCCAGGTGCTTATACTGATCATGTATCAAAATAAATCAATTAATAAAAACAAAACTATAAGACTAATGAAATTAAGTTGCATTAATTTAATGTGACTGATGATATTTTGCTGAAGTTGTCGCCCGCGAGGAGTGAGTAGGCCCTGGGAGTAAAGCGCAACAAACCTTCACTCCTGGCGCTCTGTGGAAACCCCGTTTTCCCGCACCTCTTGTCTCTCAGCTTCCTAGAAAGCATACTGCTGTTGGGCTTCATTGGAGTGAAGACATCTCACATATCTAGCCTCTGAAAGACAGCACCTTGAATTCAAAATAATAGAAATGGTCCAAACTTATTAAAGTAAGATTCAATCTGAAACACAGTGTGGTCTGTGAGTGGGAGAGGGGAGAGTGGCTAGGAGGGAGTGTTTGGTGGCTTTTGAGGGTTGCTATGGTTATGCATATTAGAGATTCTTACTTTTATAGTTTTGCTTCTTCACAGGGGTTGGCACCAGGAATTATTACAGAAAGATTGGCTACCGGTTACAAGGCCCATACATGGTGAAGACGCTAAAATATTAGCTTCAATAGTCCACCTGATGCAGTGTTTCTGGCAGGAAGTGGAGATTCCAGGTATCCTGAATATTCAACGGAGAGGCTGAGCAAAGCAAATGGACCTACCCTGTCCCCTTGGCGAGAAGCTTCACCCTCATCCTGCAGCTGCGGAGACTGGAAACTGCTCTCAGGGCACGACCGGGCGTCTGGTGACCAAGCATGGAGCCTCTGGCGCTCGGCGCTCCTGTGCCCCGACCTGTGTGTTGTCAAGAAGTCACTCCAGTTTTCAAGGCTAAGTCATGCACCCAGTTTCTAAATTCTGCATGTGGCCAGCAAGTGACTTACTCGGACTGACAAAAGCAAATTAGTCAACTCATTTGGGTTCCATACTTCATGAAATAAAACTAGATGGTGGGTAGGAGCAAAGTTAGGAGAAACTTATTTATATGGTATAGGGACAAAAAGGCAGGTTGAACACATGAAAACTGACCGATTTTGAACTCTGGACTTAAACACAGAAGCATTCCAGCACACAAAAATGAGCTTTCCTTTTATTGCAAGTCATTCTGGTTTCTGTGATGTTTGCAGTAACTGTGTGATGGAGAGAGGAGTTGACATATGTTTATGTTTCAAGCTTGAAACCAGCCCTTTTCATTTTACAGTGGGCCATTACGAACGTCCTTAATTTCACAGTTTTTTTGTCTCTACTTCCTACTCTCTTTACAACTGCAGAACAGTGTGGGCAGCACCTACGCCCAGAGAAACGATTGGCTTCTCCTTCTGTCTCTCCTGAGCAGGCGGAGTCGGGCATGCGTGTGTCTTAGGTGGTGTGGCCCTAAGTGAAGATGCCCTCCCACAGGAGCTGTTCCCTGCATTTTAATTCTTCAAGATGAATTTCGGTTTGCTTTAAATGGATAAAGATAAGAGTTCAACTCATATGAAAGCAAAACTAAAAACGGTAATGCGGAACAGGCCCAAATCTAAAGATAGGAAAAAGACTGGCTTCTCCCAGCTCCACCTTGTTGAACTGTCTCGTAAGTCCCAGGTTATCTAAGGAGACTCCGCCTGGAGCGGGTCAGTTCCTGAGAGCATGGCTGAACCCTATGTCTCTCGGCTGCTGTGGCGTTTCACAAGGTTTATTAAATGGGATTGATTCTTCTCAAAGGTACAAAAAATAAAACCGACAAACAGAGAAGGATCATATAAGGCAGTGGTTCTCAACCTTTGGCCCTTTAAATACAGTTCCTCTTGTGACCCAACCATAAAATTATTTTCGTTGCTACTTCATAACTGTAATGTTGCTACTGTTATGAATCATAATGTAAATACCTGATATGCAGGATGGTCTTAGGCGACCCCTGTGAAAGGGTTGTTTGACCGCCAAAGGGGTCGCGACCCACAGGTTGAGAACCGCTGATCCTCTCCCTGTAAATGCGGTGGCATTTGCCATGAATTTGCAGGGTTGTTTCCCGCCTGTGACACTGTTCACTTCCCCCTGGGTGCTGTCTGCCGTTTCATTCAACTGCCACAAGGCAAATGGCACTGCCTTCCCGTGGGCTCGGTGGAGCCAGAGGCTTTCCATGAGCATAGTTTAGGGTACTTAGCTGCTTCTCAATTATGTGTGTGTTTCCTTTAAAAATAAAACTGTTAAGCTAACAAAGCATATACTGTGATGGCTGTTAGCACACATGACGAGCTAGAAGGAAGAGCGTGCCGGCCCAGGCTTGCCTCCACCAAAGTCTCTGCACCTCCAATTTCTCATCTGTCCTCTTCACCTACATGTGTCAAACTGTGTGAGGTGCAAGCAGGTCCTTTGTAAAGTTGTAAAAGGACTTTCACATGTAAGGTTCATTGTAAAATGACACTTTAGAGCAAGTTTTTAAGACAAAATTGCCTGTTTCTAATGGATAAGTCATTGTTTCATCTGGATTTTCATTCAGGGCTCAGGAGTACCTACCTCGCTCATCCCCAGCCGTGCTAGGAGTGAGTCTCCTAGCCTCGAGCAAAGATGCGGAGCTTCTCAAGCTTCCCGGGGGTGCAGTCCCTGCAGCGTTCTGTCACTAGTACCAGCTTCTCTGCTGACTGCCAAGGACCTCTCCTGGCATTCGTGGCATTGGCACTCCGGTGGCCTGGCTGGCCTGGCCCTCCCAGAAATGGGTGCTCCTCAGTAGAGCAGCCGCCTCATAAGAAAGATCCCTTAGGCAGGACCCTGCGGCCTCTGTATTAAACCTTGAAAGCTGCACCTTGGGTTCCTGATCTGTATCGAACAGCTGAGCAACCACCTCAAACCAAATAGCTCTGCTTAGTTCAGCTTCTTGTGATATCACCTGGAGAGTTAAAAAAAAAAAAAATTAAGAACAGACTGAAATCTATTTGAATAGAAAATGAGATTAAAAAAAAAAAAGATCCATATCACCCAGTGAAAGAATAAAGCTCAGTTTCTCAAATGTGGGAAAGAATGAACCCCCTTTAAAGGAAAAAATTTCCACAGGCTCAAAAGAATACTGAGATGGCCCTGGCCGGTTTGACTCAGAAGACAGAGTGTTGGTCTGCAGACTGAGGGGTCGTGGGTTCCATTGCAGTCAAGGTCACGTACCTCAGTTGCAGGCTTGATCCCCAGCCTCAGTCTGGGTGCATGCAGGAGGCAACATACCGATGTCTCTTTCACATCGCTGTTTCTCTCTCGGCTGTCTCTCCCCCCTCCCTTCCACTCTAAACATCAGTGGAAAATATCCTTGTGTGAGGATTAATAAAAAACAAAGCCTGTTCTCTAAAAATATCCTTCAAATTGCAAATTTTTCATTTCCAAAGATTTTTTGTGAGACTCATTAAATTGAAAAACATCTATTCATAAAGAACTCACAGACCCCCGAGTTTATGAAAGACCTCGTGATCTAGGCTCTGCAAACCTGGGCTCCTCTGTTAACTCGGGGCTTGTGGGCAGGTCCCTCACCTTGAGCTGCAGCTTCCTGTTTCCCACGTGAGATGCACACCCATCTCTCAGGGTAAATGTGAGGGTCGGATACGGTCACATTTCAGAGGCTGCATGAACCATGCCATTTGCTATAGAAACAATTGTTACTCTGATGCAGTAGCTTCTGACAGATGTGTGCCCTGGGGCCAGTAAATCCCTGGCTCTCGGCACAGTTCCTCTCTCTAAAATGGAAGCCATACGAGTACCTCCCCCATGCAGAGACCTGAATGAGCTCATGCGTGTAAGGTTCTGAGAGCAGGGCCTGTGGAGTGTAAAACACCAGAAGTCCCAGCTGTTACTAACATCTAACAGGGCAGACTGGCTCATTTTAACAAAGTTCTCTATTGGCAGTAGAATCTGACTTTTTGCCAGTGTCAGAGAATAGTATCTGGTCTCTGAGGCCATTTCTTCCTCCTGTCGGTCCTGTTTCATTCACAGAAGTCTAGGGTTGCAGATTGACAAAACCATACTGTGAAGGACAAGAGACCAGCTGAGACTCCAACAGCAAAAAGCATGTGTAAATATCCCTACGGTTCTGGGGGCTCCCCAGCAAGTTGTCCGATGTCAGTGTGGCTGCTGGTCTCCCCTGTGTGCTGGCAGCTGTGTCCCCATAAGGAGTCCTGAGGGGTGGGCAGAGGGGTGGGGCCACATCTCTGTGGGTTAGAGTTCTGTATGCCAGCAATCCGTTTGTGTTTTATTCTGTGAAGAAGCTCCAAAAACTAGGTTTACAGGCTTTTTAAGGAAACAAATAAATACATGCCTGCAAAAGTAGCAAACCATCCGCATCCAAGTTTGCAGCATTATCTCCTACCTCTGTCTTCACAGGCCTCGAACACTCTCCTTGTGCACCCGGCACACTCCTCCTTCAGGGGAGAAACTACCACCTCCTCAGGCCCACTGCGCGCTGCCCCTGCACCGGATCCCTGGTGTCCTTTACTTATGTGATCCTCACTGCAGCCCTAGAGTGAGCACTGTTCTCCCCCAATTAACAAGCAAGGACACCGGCCCAAAGTCAGACAGGGCCACCACGCTGCCCCGTTCCAGTCGGAACCAGTTATAAAATGTCTGTGGCTCGCACACTCACATGCCACATGCCCCTGGAGCGGCCCAGCGGGCAACCCCATCTCAGCTACTAAATGGGTTTAGGAATCAAACCTGAGCCAGTGACTCAGACAGGCTTACTCCTCTACCTCACATTTCCTTTCTTAGGGAGAAAAGGTTTCAGTCAGCTTACGTTCAAGAGGACCCAACAGCTCATGTGATTTCACCCTCAACCACCAGCCTGCGAGGAAGGTCCTGTCTCAGGTTTTATAGTGGCAGGTAGTGGGCGTGCGTGGCTTCATCAGGAGAGAATGCAAAGCAGTCTGTTCTTTCTATTTAAATGAAAACAGCTTTTTCTAAAAATTACATATGCTCATTGTGGAAAAAAATTGAAGTAAAACAAAAGCACAAGATAACCTGAAGTCTCACCATCACAGGCAACCGTGCTAAGCATGTGTTGCTCTGTAACCTTTACTTGGCAAAATAATGGCAACATCTCATGGCTCTACTTCGTCCTTTTGAATAACTACCCACTGTTCCACTGTCGGCAGCTGCCACGGCTTACTTAAGCAGGTCTTTCATATCTTATATTCTTTCATATTCTTATTTTCACAACAGCTAGAATGATTAAGCATGAGGGCTGCACACATTACTGACTCATAAGATTTGCTTTAAATTTTTGTCAAGCAGCCACCACGCAGCCACAGCAGGCTACCTCCGTGTCCCCTTCCTTTCCTTCTACCGCCAAGTCTTTCAGTCCTGCGTTCGTAACTCGCCGTCCAGGAGGTGGGGGAGGAGAAACCTGTCTGGCAGCTTGGCCTTTTCCATTAAGGCAGCAGCACGTTTGCTCGTGAACAAGTCCCATCAAACAAAATGTCAAGCTGCCGGTTCACTGAAAGGTACTGGAGCGTAACATGCTTTTATTGAGGTTAGAGGTGACGGTACCTTACGTTTTCTCCCCTGACAGATGTTACTGCTTCAAGACAGATTCCCTTGCCAGCTAACCCCTGCAGAGAAAGTTATCCGCTTGCACAGGGCTCATATTGTCCGGAAGATTAGCAAATGGGAGCGCCAGAAAGGTGACAGTAGTTACTGTCCAAACCAGGACATGGTGGGGGGCGGGGGGAAGGCTCAGCACTTGGACCCCTCAAGAAAGAGCAGGCCTGGTGGCCAGCTGCCTGGGTTTGAGGCTTGCTTCTGCCTCTGTCTGGCTTTGCAAGAACTAGGGTCTTGGATCACTGCGTGTTTGGGGTGTTGGGGCAAAGGTGACAGTAGCTACTGTCCCAACCAGGACATGGTGGGGGGCGGGGGGAGGGCTCAGCACTTGGACCCCTCAAGAAAGAGCAGGCCTGGTGGCCAGCTGCCTGGGTTTGAGGCTTCTGCCTCTGTCTGGCTTTGCAAGAACTAGGGTCTTGGACCACTGTGTGTTTGGGGTGTTGGGGCAGCAGGCAAAGGATCATTTACATCTACCTGAAGAAAAGGGAAGGGAGGAAACGGGGAAAGAGAAAGAAAGGGAATAGTATCTGTTGAGCAGTTAGGCCTAGTCTTGACCTCACAACTATTCTCTGAGGCAGGAATTACAGCCTCCATTTTACAAATGAGAAGCCAGGGTTCAAAACAGGTAAG